TTAAATATAATATTTATATATATTAGGATTAAAATATGACCTATAATTTAGGGTGGCTTTTTATCTTAAATAATTTTTTTATACATAAATATATATATATATATATATATATATATAACATTATTCATTCAATTGTTTTAAACATAAATATATAGTTTTTTTTTCTTTTTTTTTTTTTAAACTATAGTTCAAACTTTTTAATAAATATGCATAGAATAAGTCCATATTTCTTATTTTTATTATAAAAAAATATTTACAAATATTTATTTACTAAATTAATAAATAGATAGGTCAAACGATTCATGTGAGTTGGGAACAGAACAAGACAATTTTAATGATTAGGTGAATGACAAGTTAGTATAAATCTAATGTTAAATGCAAATTTAATATCATAAGTGAATCTTAATTCATTTTTACGTAAATCTTATAACATAAGACAAGTTATAATTTTTAGACTTCACAAAACATGAAAAAATTACTATATATATTGACAAATGTAATGTACCACTATCATGTGATAAATTAAATTTACGAAACTCATAAAACGAAATGTATTTATATTTTATCATAAATATAATTTTTGTGATTTATTTTTTAATTTTTACCACTTAAATTATGACATATATTTGTTATTAAGAACTTAAAGCACACAATTAATGAGATAAGAATAAAAAAAAATTCTCTTATATGTAACTGTAATAAAAATGAATAAAATTTAATTAATTCTAAATCATTTTTGCTAAATATTGTAGATAATTTTTTTAAATTATTATTTAATTTAAAAAATTAATTTTAGATTATTTATTTATACCCATACATAGCACGAGTAATTATGCTAGTTGTACTTTTAAGGGGGAAATAACAACTCAATTAGAGGTTGAATTTTTTTTTAGATTAATAGTAGGGTTTACAAAATTTAATTATTAAAATCATAAATTTTGCATGCATGTATAGTTATTTTTAAAAAGTTGACTTGATTTGCAATTTTTCGTACATTTCACAGAAGAGAAGCCCGTAATTAGGATTACTATGGGGCGTTTTGGCAAGCAAAAAAAAAAAAGTCAATTTTTTTATTTTTTAATTTTTTTTAGGTAATATTATTTTTTATTTTTTTTGTATTAAAAAAATCAAAAAATAAATTTTTTACTAACTTGTCAAAACACAACTATTTAAGGGGCATTAATGTCATTCACTTGCAGCAAATCACATGACTCCGCTCAACAACTCATATGACCAGAACAAATTTTGGCTCCGTGATGTTAAGGGCCTGTTTGGTGGGTCTGTTGGGTAATCATTATCTTCTCAGTTTATATTTACAAAAATTTTATAAACTGATTTTTGTTTATTTTTAGAAAAACATACACTACAAATGCGTTTGGTAATTGATAAAATGTTTAAAAAAATTTAAAAATATAAAAAAGAGTGAGAAATGGCAAGTAGTGGAAAGTGGCCAATGGAAGTGTCTTACACTATCTTATAAATCTATCTTAGACATCGTCTGCAGATGAATGATGCCAACATCCCTAATACCAAGTTAGATGCATGGTTCAATCCTCACTTAAAAGTATTATCTGTTATGATCCAACCCAATAGTTAACCTCCTACCTAAAAGACACATGTACCGTCTTATAAATTCATCATGAAGTCCACAAGCACCCTAGACATGTATAGAGATTTGTTTTTCATTTGGAAATTGTTTTATAAATTTGTTCTGTGGATGTGGATGGATATGCAGGGCTATTCATGGCGATGCAAGAGAAAGTAATAGCGTGCGGAGTGAGTCTAACTGTGTTTGGGATGGTTTTGAGGTTTATAGCTGGTCCCGCTGCCATGGCTATTGGTGCTATTGCTGTTGGTTTGCATGACGATGTCCTCCGCATTGCTATCATCCAGGTATGTCTATATCTACATCTATATATCATTTTCTTATTGTTTTCATATAATTTATTTTCAATTAATTTTTTTCAAATAAATATTTTTTAAATTAAAATTTTTTTTCAATTAATTTTTTTTCAACTATTTTTTTTTTCAATTAATTTTTTTTCAAATATTTTTTTCCCAATTAATTTTTTTTCAATTATTTTTTTAATTAATTTTTTTTTCAAATAGAATTTTTTTCCAATTAATTTTTTTTTCAATTCTTTTTTTAATTATAATGTGTGTGATTCCATTGTCATAAATAATGAAAATAAATATAAATATTTTAGGTCTGAACAAACATATTTTTTAGTTTATGTTTTTAAATTTTTTTAAACATTTTATTCAAACCAAACGCGTTTGTAATTTATGTTTTTCTAAAAATAAACAAAAAACAGTTTATAAAATATTTATAAACATAAACCAAAAATGTATACATTACCAAACGCTAACTAATTAATGAGTTTTTGTTTTTGTTTTGTTTTATTTTTGAGGTAATTAGTTAAAAGTTTTGTTTCCATATGTTATGATAATTTAAATTCTATTTAAAATTTTTTGAACTAATAAGTCTTATTTAGTAAAATTAAAAATATTATCTATTTTTTCTAATTTTTAAAATTAACAATAATATCAATTTTGCATGGTAATATTTCAGATAATTGTTTCAGTAACTGATAAAAAAAACCAGAGTATGAGATTAAAGCATCTTTGCCTTTTTATTTATTAGTTTGATTTAATTATCCAACAAAATCGAGAATATTATTAGTTTTTTTTTTTTAAAGTTTTTTTTTTAATTTTTTAATTTTATAATTTTGCACATTAATGTTTCATCATCATGCCATATTCCTTTATAGATAATCATAAATGTTGAATAATTATTATTTGAAGGGTAACTCTAACTATTAAAAATAACAACCGTGATTCCTAGCCCCATTGGGGGGTCAACCCCCAGTGACGTGGCGCAGCGCCATTCGTCAGTTTTTTTTTTTTTATGTTTTTAAATTTTTTTAAACATTTTATTCAAACCAAACGCGTTTGTAATTTATGTTTTTCTAAAAATAAACAAAAAACAATTTATAAAATATTTATAAACATAAACCAAAAATGTATACGTTACCAAATGCAACTAATTAATGAGTTTTTGTTTTTGTTTTGTTTTATTTTTGAGGTAATTAGTTAAAAGTTTTATTTCCATATGTTATGATAATTTAAATTCTATTTAAAATTTTTTAAACTAATAAGTCTTATTTAGTAAAATTAAAAATATTATCTATTTTTTTTCTAATTTTTAAAATTAACAATATTATCAATTTTGCATATTAATGTTTCAGATAATTGTTTCAGTAATTGATAAAAAAAACCAGAGTATGAGATTAAAGCATCTTTGCCTTTTTATTTATTAGTTTGATTCAATTATCCAACAAAATCGAGAATATTATTAGTTTTTCTTATTTTTAAAAGTTTTATTTTTAATTTTTTAATTTTATAGTTTTGCACATTAATGTTTCATCATCATGTCATATTCGTTTATAGATAATCATAAATGTTGAATAATTATTATTTGAAGGGTAACTCTAACTATTAAAAATAATAAGATTTGAAAATTCAAAAAATCTTAGTTAGGACTTAATGGAGTATAAGTTCATAAATTAAAACTTGTGTGTAAATACTTTTTTTTTAGGTTGATTTAGAAATTAATTTTTTTTATTTAAAAAATGTATAAAAATATAAAAAGTGTAAATTAACTTTTCATATTAATTTTTTAATTAATTTAATTTGGCCTCAAACAATGCGGTCCTAAACTGAAATACTCTAGGGTAAATTACACTTACATTCTCTGAGATTTAGATTTAATACATATCACTCTTTGACGTTTCGAAAATTATACTAATCTTTTTGTCACTGTAATTATTTAGACAAAATAAAGATATTGAACTCGTGCACTCTCTCTTTTTTTTCTTTGCTTTACTTTTTTTTTTTTTTCTTCTCTTTCTTTTGCTTTACTGTTTTTTTTAATATAATTTTCTCTATTTTTCTACTAGGAGTTGTTGTCTTTTATATCAGTAGGGGGTTTTGTAAAATGAGATTATCAACCACAGAAGTAAGAATATAATTTTTAGAATATCAAGGAGTGAGATGTAATTTGATCAAATCTTAGGAGTTGTCAATGTAATTTACCCAATACTCTAATTTTATAGGCAACTAAAATGGTGGTAGCAATAAGATTTTAGAATAATACCATGTATTATAAAAGAAATATCATAAGATATTTTATGAAAATTTTACATCTTTTAATTAGTGTATGGTATTTTATTGTGTATGTAATCCAAGGATGGAGAATCTTCATGAAACTTTTCCTAATATTTCTTTCATTATGGCTAACATTACTCAAAATTTTAATTCAAAAATTATTATTTTTATTTAAAAAGTGAAAAGTTAAATCAATTATTTCTTTTATTGATTATAGAATTTGTTTATTGATTTCTATTTTCTATCATACCTAACGCTAAAAAATGTATTAAAAAAAACACTCCAAAATATATGATGGTAAAAAAATGAGTGATATGATGGCTCCAAGTGAAAATATTTTCACTACCTTCCCCAGTGAAAGCATCTCCATTTTTTTACTATTTTTTTAATCTAATTTGATTTTAATTTAAGTAAAAACTTAATTCTAATCATTTCATCAAATTTTTATTAAAATCCTTTTAAAAGTTCACTCTTATCCCAATTTTTTTTTTAATCAAATTTGATGGAAAAACATAATCTCTAATGCTTTATTTATTATTTATTATTTTTTATTAAATTTAAATTTGATGATGGACGTGATGAATCCTTACTTCGATGAATATTTGATAAAACAATTAGGGATGCTCTTTGAATACTTTTTTTAATAAATTTAAATTTGGGGGGGAAAAAAATTAAGAATAAGAGATGCTCTTGTATGAAGAAAAGTCCAAAATGGGCAATTGACTCGGTCACTGAATTAACTACCATTACTGCACACTGTAAAGAGAGAAAGGGAAGAGGATAAACTAAAATGGGGGTTGTGGATCACTACAGAAACTCGCAAAGAGTAAAATGGAGTAGGAAAGAGGTTACAAGAGATACATAGTACAGCAAAGCGTTTTTTTCACAAATATTCATAGAAATTTTTTTTGCTGGAATGTCAGATAGAGATTAGTGGGCGCTCAACAACTCTTTATTTTCTTTTTTCTCACTCTTATCCATACTTGCTGAGTACTGACCTCTCTTTGTTTTTATTGTCTTATTATATATGGATGTGTGTGTTCTCTGTCCTTTTGTTGCTTCACACACACACACACACACTCTTGTCTCTCTATATATACAGCAGTTGAGAACCACATGTAGTGTCTGCACCAATTGACTATACAAAACCAACCTCTTTCTGTTGTCTTATTGCCCAACTCAGAATATGTCTTGCTTCTGATTTGGTCTCTTCATATCTCTGTCTCTGTTGGGTTGTTCAATTGATCTTTCTATATTGTTTTATGATACAATTTCCCATAACAGACTCTAGATTTGAGGTGGGTTTTGGGTTTTCTTTATTTGGGTCATGGATGTCTCTTGTGATCTTGAAGTGGATGTCAATGGGGAAGAGGTTTTCATTGTGGACAAGGTAAGTTCTGTTCTTGGCTTGTACTATTTTTCTTCTTTTTTGTCTTTGTAAAGAAACAGTACTTGTTTTGTTTCTGTGCCCAAAATGTACTCTTTTATTTTAATTTGGTTTTGTCTGCATTTACCTGGGATGAGCTTTGAGAATGTGTAATTAATTCTTCTGTTCTTCTTTGTTTGGTTGCTGCGAAAACGTTGGAAAAAGAAAGATTTAAAGGTTTTTTGTTCCCTAGAAAACAATCCTCAACTGAGCCTAATTTGGCTTAGTTAGAACAAACTTAGTATCATTTGGAAACCAAGGTTAAATGAACATAAGATTGAAAACTTTATTTTCATTTTCTTTTACTTCTCCTATGTTCGTTCTTTCTTGAAAACTTAAGGGTTTAGTGCCCTCTTTCACTCTTTTTGGACTTTGTTTGGATATTAGATTTACGGAGGGAAAATAAAAATAATGAAATAGAAGTCGAATTTTGTTCACATCCAAGATCTAAACACGGATGCAGGGTTGCTCTTATTGTAAATACTGTTGTTTTCCTTCTTTGATGGGATTTCCAGTAGACATCTTTTCATGATTACCCTTCAAAAATTGATGTCTATAAAGACCTCTCACCATTCTTTTTTAGGAATTGGTACAGTTAACCCTTTTCATCCCCTTTTCTTGGTTTCTAAATTCAATGCCTTTATGCTGTGTTTTGTTGGGGATTTGAGGAGGAATTTGATAATTAAAATGAAAAATATAAATGAAATGTGAATAAAATATGCGTACATTATACTAATTTCACGCATCTTTTCTCTTCTCTTTTCAAATCTCTCTCCAAATTCCCAACCAAATGTTCCATTTAGAAAGTGAGTGAGGCTGGTTTTTTATTGGCCTTGTTTAGGAAGTTGGTTATTTTAAATTTTGGCTATTTTAATAGGTTAAAATTTTTGTATTTGAGAAGATGGTTGGATTTTTTTATAGTTGGATGTGATGTTTGTGAGGAAAAAAATAAAATGACTATGTGTTTGGTGTGATATTTTAGGGTGTTTTAGGAAGATTGTTAAAAGCTAGCTTTTTAACTTTTTTTTTTTTTTTTTTTTTTTTGAGAGAGGAAGTGGGTTAAAAGTTGAGATGTAACTTTTAACCCACTCTTCAAAATAAACTTTTGTTTTATTGACTATTTTAACTTATTTTCTCTTTTTATAAATTTTTAATCTAAAAAATCAAAATTTAACATTTGCCAAATAAGGCCATTGTACTTCTTTGATTACTTGTAGCTAAGGCCAAGTTTGGGAAGACTAAATAAGTGTACTTTTTGTCTTTTTGGACTAAAAAATTGAGATTGAAAATATGGATGTTTGGGTTAACTTTTTGACTTTTTATGGAAAAATGTGTAATAAAAAATTGTAAAAATTGGTTTGTAGAGGAAAATTTGAATTGGGAGTTGTGCAGCCGTAATTGTTGACTTTTGGTGAATAGTGTTAACTTTTTAACTTTTTAAGTAACTTTTTGACTTTTTGGCTTATTTGGGACTTCCCAAACTTAGCCTTGCCTAGTTTGGGAAGACTAAATAAGTGCACTTTTTGACTTTTTATGAAATATGGGTTGAGTTTGGGTTGGGTTTGAAGTGATGTGTTAGAGAGGTGATGTGACTTAAATAAGATGATGTGACTTAAATAGGATAGTGACTTTTTGACTTTTTGTCTTTTTTGCCTCATGCCAAACTTGGCCTAAGGCCAAGTTTCCCTTGGCTTTCCATATTTCCCTTGCTTCTTAACTGTTTTTTATAGGTCCTTGAAGACATATTGGGTGGTAGGCTTTCCATATTTCCCTTGCTTCTAAACTGTTTTCTATTGGTTCTTGAAGACATTTTGGGTGGTAGTATTTCTTTTGATCTTACGCGAATTATACTGGGACAGTCTTGAAGACATATTGGGTGGTAGGCTTTCCATATTTGCCTTGCTTCTAAACTGTTTTTTATTGGTTCTTGAAGACATTTTGGGTGGTAGTATTTCTTTTGATCTTACGCGAATTACACTGACAGTCCCAGTTCCTATAGTTTGGAATTCGTATCATTTTGGTCTTTAACTTTTCAATTGTAATACATTTAATTTTAAAATTTAAATTTAATTCCAAATAAAGATAATTGAAGATACCACTGCTCAATTTTAAGGACAAAATCATCAATTTGATAAAATATAAATTAATTTGACAAAAATAAATGTCAAAAAAATATTTTTGAATTTTTAAAAATTGAGAAAATTATTGGAGTGGGTTTTCTCTTTGTTTGCCGGGTCCATTTACGGCATAATTTGTTACTGGGTAGTCCTAATTTGAATGGTTTGGGGGTGTTGCTGGACGAATATACCCTGCCATGATTTGTGGACATTTTATTCTTCTTTTTTTTGGTATGTCGTATCCCATTTTTATTGGGGGGTGAGGGAAGCCGTTTACATAGGTTTCAGAGTGGGATTAGAATTACTTTGGATTCAGTTGTTTGGTGTGGGGGATGGGAACTTTGTTTGCTGCATAGAAACTTGACTCACTATCGTCGTAGGAAAGGGAATGTGGTTTGGTCGGACTGTCCACGTCACTATGCATTACTATCCACTCCTTCCCATACTGATTTGGCAATTGTGTCCCTTGCCGTCGTTGAACATAGGTATGCTCAAAATTTTGTATTACAAAGTCATCCCTCATCATTCCCACACATTCATACCAATGCACAAATCAATGTCGCTGTTATCACACCGACAATGGAACGAGAACGGAGAAACATTGGTACCTATGTTTGACGCCAACAGTGCAACAGTCCATTGATATGCTCAAAAAGAAAAACAGAGCCCCCGTTTGTTTTTAGAGGTAGAATGGAAGGGATTGATAGTGAAGGGATTAATAGTGAAGGGATTGATTGTGAGAGGATTAAGTAAAATTGTGTTTGTTTTGATGGTAGTTGTTAGTGTAGGGATTGTTAAATTATTTTTATATAAAATAAATATAAAATAATAAAACAAATAAAAAAAATACAAAAACATTAAACATTAATGTTTTAAAAAAAATGCTCAACATGTAAAAAAATTTTAAAAAATAAAAATAAAATAAAAAATTTTCAAAAATAAATAAAATAATGATTTTTACTTAACAAAAAATACAAAAAATTAAACATTAATGTTCAAAAAAAAAATGCCCGACATGTAAAAAATAAAAAAATAATAAAAAAATAAAAAATTTCTAGTCTGTCGGACTATTTTTATAATACCAAGTTCTTGAGGCCCATCCGAATCCCATCTGCAAAGCCTATTCTAAGCCGTTCGGCTTAGCAGTCCCTTACTCAACTCTGTAAACAAACAGTACATTACATGGGACCCATAGCTATCCTAATGCCAATCCCCCTTTCATATCCCAAAACAAACGGGGCCAGAGGGATCACACACCTTGGATGTGGGGAACCTTTGATGGCTTTTGACCATACTTTCTCAAGGAGTAATCATCCGGTGGTATGTCGGCCAACTTCACACTTATTGTCGGCACTCTCACCACTCTCTTCACCTTCAATTTCCTAATAAAAAAAAAAACACTCAATGAAATCCATAAAATACAATAATTATAACAACAATTAACTATTTGATGACGTGAATAATGAACCCTACCTTTTCTTAGAACAATGGCATCGCCCTGAGGACGCACCGCACTTGGCGACCGCATCGTCCATCGAACTGCACTTCCTCTTGGACAGGGGCGGCCGACCAGCCGACGATGGGTTCGTAATCTGAAACGCCGACGACATCAAATGCTGCAGGCTGTCGGTGTCTCTTGTTAGAGACGACATGAACGAATTCGGCGACGACGCCACCGCCGCGAAATTGATCATCTTTGCTAACTCTTTTCGATCAATAGATCTGTTTTTTACTTGGTGATTGTGAGGAAGATGAGGCAATCTCTAAATCGGCTTCGGACAGTAAACTCTAGGAACCGAACCTTGCTTTTCCTCCACCGACTTTGTTTCATGGGTCCTCTGTTGCTATTGGTGAGGAGTCACAGGGCCTTTTCTGAAGCGATCGTGACCGGTTCGAGTTCGATCGAGAAATGAAATAAACTATAACGTGAACCCACTCGCTTCATCTATAACGTGGATTTCGGAATTCGGGTTGTGAGAAACCCGAAATGGAAATCCGAAACCATTTTAGTGTGCCTTATTTCGCGTGTTCACGTCACGTACGAAACCACGTTCTACTTCTGTGAGTGTTACAAACCTATTAAATTAAAAAAGGTATTAGTGTGCTTTTCCGATCAACGTGACACACAAACACCCATTCACCTTCCCTATACAAACCCACACCAATCAACCAATAATACTAACAGTGGCAAAACAGTTAACAAACAAATTAAGGGACCATCCAGTCACCAAGAACACATTTAGGACCTTATAAATTACAAGTCCACAAAATGAGATTTAGTAGTCAATTCCCCACAAAAATTATTTATACCCACCAAAGATAAAGTTATGTGAAATTGATAAATCTTTTACACATTTATTTATTTATTTATTTACCAAATTAATTTTTATTGTGTGTTTGAATAATGATCATGTAATGGGTAGTGGTTAGGCTTTTAATGTGTAATCGATATATTTAATATATAAAATATTTTTAGTTTTGGATTTTTTGATTTAATAGATTGATTTAATAATAATATCAAAGTTGTCGCCATATTTAACTTTTGGAAAAATATAAACTAATTTAATAAAAACAAAAACAGCCACCCATTACATGATCATCATCCAAACATACAATAAAAATTAATTTAGTAAAATCAATAAATGTGTAAAAGATTTATTAATTTTAGATAATTTTATCTTTGGTGTGTTCAAATAATTTTTAAAAGTTTAAAAATATTTTTTTGACATTTATTTTTGTCAAATTAGTTTATATTTTATTAAGGGTGAATTACATCAACAGTCCCTGTAGTTTGGGATTTGAGTCACTTTGGTCCCTGACTTTTCAATGGTGACACATTTGACCCTAAATTTTGAATCTTGTTCCAAATAAGGACAATTGAAGATACTATTAGATTTTTCAAGGGCAAATTCATCAATATAATAAAATATAAATTAATTTGACAAAAATAAATGTCAAAAAATTATTTTTGAATTTTTAAAAATTATTTCTATCTACTAAAGATAAAATTATATAAAATTGATAAATCTTTTAGACATTTATTTTTTATTTTTACCAAATTAATTTTTATTATGTATTTGGATGATAATCATGTAAAATTAATTTTTACAAAATAATTATGTAATTTTAATTAATTTTTATCAATTTTACATAATTTTATCTTTGGTGGGTAGAAATAATTTTTAAAACTTTTAAAATATTTTTTTGATTTTTATTTTTGTCAAATTAGTTTATATTTTATCAAATTGACGATTTTGCCATTGAAATTAAGCAATGGTATGTTCAATTGTTCTTATTTGAAACAAGATTCAAAATTCATAATCAAATGTGTCACAATTGAAAAATTAGGGATTAACGTGACACGAGTCTTAAACTATAGAGACTATTAGTGTAATTTGCCTTTTTATTAAATTAATAATTTTTCCGTTGAAATTGAGCAATGATATATTCAATTGTCCTTATTTGGAAAAGATTTAAAATTTAGAATTAAATGTGTCACAATTGAAAAGTCCTGGTCCAAAATGACACAAGTCCCAAATTATAAGGACCACTAGTGTAATTCGCCCTTTGATCTTTGATTTTCCTTTTGATTTTTTGGTTTTTTTGACTTTTTGTAAGAGAAAGAATTTAATAATTATGATTTAAATGTGATATTTTATCTTATTAGACTAAAAAGTTTATTTTGTTTTTTTGTAACTATTTTAACTAGAAAAACCAAAATCTAAACTTTCCAAACGAGCTCATATATATATATATAATTTTTTATTTTTTATTTTTGGTTACCAGCATTTTTTTTTTCAACAATGATTCATCCCACTAAAAACATTACCACTAATAGCACTAATGCATTAAAAAAGTAAAAAAAAAAAAAAATACAACTCCAAAATCAAAATATCACATCATTAATGACGGGACCCACTGCCACCTAATTAGTGGGAGCACTAATTAGTGCTCCCAAGCATTTTTCTTTTTTTTTCCTTTGTATTCTGACCCTTTTTCATGATTTGATGCTGCTGTGTTTGCAGAAAATAATTTCTTCATATTCAGGAAGAATAAGAAAATTATTCAGTAAATTGACGGGTGGGGCGAAGAGTCTGAAGGTGATATTCCATGACTTCCCAGGAGGGGCAGAGAGTTTTGAGCTCATGACACGGTTCTGCTACAACAATGGAAAAGTTGAAATTAATCCCTTGAATCTCTCTCTCTTATACTGCATTGCAAATTTCATGGAAATGAACAAATCTGTCTCTGGATCAATCAGTTTACTTGAGCAAACTGAGAAATCTCTTGAAGAGATCAGGTACTGGACATGGTCCGAGCTTTTGGTAGCCCTGAATCAGTGTCAAGATTTACTTCCTGTTGCGAATTCTTCGGGTATACTTATAAAATGCTTGGATTCTCTGTTTGGAAGGCTTGCATTGGGCAACGAAACGAGTCCATGCCCATCTATTTCTTCAACTGATAGCTTTGGGATTCGGTTTTCTTGTGACACTAGAAGCACTGAGAGCTTGAAAAATAGCTCTTTTCGAGCCACATGGTGGTTTGAAGATCTTGTGGCTTTCAATCCTAACTTGGTTGAAATGTTGACAAAATCAATGGTTTCCCGGAAATTCGACCATGTCATCATAAGCCGGTTCCTCTTTTATTACCAGAAATCAAGGTTTATTCTAGCTACATCTGATGAGAAAAGGAAAATCAGTGAGACTGTAGTCAACATGCTCTATTCTCTAGATCAGAATGCCATTTCTTGCAAGAGTTTATTTGGGATTCTTAGAGTTACTCTGAATTTAAACATAAGCAAATGTTGCAGGAACAAGTTAGAGAGCATGATCGGTTCACAGATGGACCGAGCAACCCTAGACAATCTGCTTGTTCCATCTCCAATTGGATCAAATTGTCTATATGATGTGAATTTGGTTCTGAGATTTTTGAAGTCATTTCTTGGCAAAGGAGTAAGTTGTGTGCCATTGGTTCAACTGAAGAAAGTTTCTAGCTTGATGGACTTGTACATAGCAGAAGTAGCACCTGATCCTTGTTTAAAACCATCAAAATTTTTGGCTCTAGTTAGGGCCCTTCCAGATTCTGCCCGAGAATCCTATGATGGAATCTACCGTGCCATGGACATGTATCTAGAGGTACTTGTAACATGTATATTACCTTGAATTGTTATTGGAAAATTTACTTGTAATCTTTCTGCATTATGAAGTGTTATAATGTGATATTTGAGGTTTATATTACCATAATGTTCAATATGAAGCTTCGGACTAATTATTATAATCAATTTTGCCGGATCTTATTTTGATTATTTGAATTTTGTCGGTCTTACTACAGGTCCATGCTAGATTAACCGAAGAGGAACAGATAAAGTTGTGTTGTGGACTGAATTATGAGAAGCTCTCATCAGAAGTTTGCAACCGCCTTGCTCAGAATGAAAAATTCCCATCAAAATTGGCTATCCAAGCTCTCTTCTCTCAGCAGTGCAAGCTCAAAAGCTTGCTCACAGAGACCAACCAAACAAAACCCTTCATCGATTCACCACTTAGTTTTGTGGACATTGATACAAAGGGAAAGGAAGATGAGAGCTGTGAACAAATTGTGGTTTATGCTGGAAAGCTTGATCTTTCAGCCGAGAACGAGAAGCTCAGGGCACATCTGCAAGGTATGCAGTGGAGGGTACTTGAATTGGAGAAAGATTGCAGAAAAATGCAATCCCAAATGACAAAGATCATGAAATCAAGATTATCAAGCCACAGTAATGCTAAATCTTTACCCAGGCTATGTTCATGACAGATAATTTTCATTTAAAAAAAAGGTTTATTCATAATAACTTCCTTACATTACATGTGTATTTACATAATGGGAAATGAGCATTCTGTGATTGTAAAATTTAAGGCCAGTGACAGCAGTGTTGAAGTCTTGTCTGTATATGTTATAAACAGTGAAAAAAATAATAATTTGTTCATTCTGCGGTCTGAGGAAGATGGACGTCTAAGATTAAGTCCCTTTCCATGTCACTCTCATATGGAGGCATTCAATAAGAGCAAGTTGCCATGAAATTGAAGTCACATGAAGCTGATGATGATTGAAAAAGATATCTCTCAACTCTGCTAGATTTAATTATGTACATTTCTCACAACCACTTTCTTGATTCTTTCCCACTTCGTGTTCACTGCATCATCACCTCAACTTCACTTTCATTATTTGTTAAAAAAAACAACGCCCAATTATTACATATTAATGTGTGTTTGGGAGAGAAAAAATTAGGTACACACCTAACCTTTCAAGGTTATTAGGCTAAGGTTTTACTATTGAACCAATAGTCACCTTCATTATTTAATCTTGTTAACATAAATTCTTAACCCAAGTTTAAAATCCAAACATAGCCTTAGGATAGCAAAAGCTGTAATCGTTATAGAAAGCGGTCAATGCATTGTAAATACAGAGCTTATTAGTGCATGTTCATATTATTATTCTCGTAATATGGCTGAGTGTAATCAGACTCATTACACAAATATTCCTTTCTTCCGACTAATCCATTTACGGAGTTCAAAATTCATTTTATTCTTTGATGAGTGAAACATGCTCAAATAACATTTTAAGACTCTTATTCTTGATGTGTTATCTGGAGCTCCATAGGCATCCCCGTACTGGTATATGCAATAAACAGTCCTCCCCAAGTTTAGAATTATGTCCATCAAAGGTCTAGAACATGGAGTATTGTTGCTTGCTAGACCTTTGTTCATCTTCTTCCATGTCTCATCAATCAAGTTTCTCATTTGTTCACAAGCCAATTCCTCTGAAAGTTTGGTTTCGTTCATGTAACATGGGATTGACTTTGCAGTTATATCTCTCTTCAAGTCAGCCTGCATTGTAAAGAAACCTACTATTATCATCATGATTAATCTAAATTGGTTAGATTAGATTACCAGCAACATTGGGATTGCATTGTAGCATGAGAAAGATTGTATAAGATTGCATACTGATGAAGAAGCCAAATCATTGCAAAGTCAAAAAATCATGGATGGGTGGCGGAAAAGGTCATCGTGTTGATCAAAGCAATCTAGTGCCTGCTTTGTGATGTTTTGATCTATTGCGCAATAAGCATGAACCAGTATAACTACTGCAGACGACGAAAGCCATGCATTGTCCATATAATCTTTGAACTTTGGTGTGGCTTTTGTGTGGTACTACTTTGCTTCTACTAGGAAAGCTTTGCATAAACCTGCACACTGAAATAAAATAGATGAAACAAGATTAAGTTAAAAGAAAACTGAAAATTTTACATAATTTCAGAGTAGGAAGTGTTGGTCTGATGAATGAGGCCTAGATTCAAGCTTACAGTTGTGAGATGCAACTTTCATTCTTGTTCTCCTCTTAAAAAAGGAGCGACTCAATGTGCGAGGCTTTGGCTAAATTGGGGCTGAGAAGTTTCAGATGTATAAAGTGTTACTCTCATTTTTGGAAAGGCTGCTTCTGTGACTCAAATCCAGTTGACTGGAAACCTAACAACCAAGTCTTAAACCTCAACTAAAACAAAGAAAAAATTGAAAGTATATGTATTGATATTGGATGCACATACTGCTTTTTTTCGCCGTGACATGGTTTTCGCTCCCTGTTCTTTAAAATTGTCATAGGCCATTTCATTTACAGTGCTACAGAGAGCTTGAAGCATAGTTGCAGGCAGTCTGAAAGATTTTCAACAGCATCCATACTCCCACCTGACAACATTAAAAAGTTTGAAAATATAGTTCAGTGAATGCATAATTTGAATTTACTCTGACACCCAAGAAAATGCTCTATTTAATTGAGCATGATGGTTATGTGATTCTTTTATAGTTTGAAAACAAACCTCTCAACTGTTTCTGTAAATTGCTCTAGTTCTTTCAATGAACCATATATATCGTAGATGTCATCAAAAATAGTTATTGGTACAATCACTTTTGTCATCCCCTTACGAAAATTACTAAATTGAGGTTCAAAAACCATTCCAATTGAACAGAAGAAGCTTTCTGTTATCCTATCCCTTGTAAAACTCAACTTGTTTGCTAGTCCCATATATCTCCACCACCTTCAGGAACAGAGAAACCAATCATTTCCGAACAATGCATTATATCAAGTTTTAAATCGGCTGGGGTTATCAATCTAATCATTTTAATGAATTTTCCAAGCTTGACCTTTAAAAATTTTGGGCCAATATAATCTTGGATATTTGCGAGAAAAAAAGAACAAAAAAAAAAGTGCCATATATCATCCAAACACTGCAAGTCTTAGAAATGCATTATATCAAGTTTTAAATCGGCTGGAGTTATCAATCTAATCATTTTAATGAATTTTCCAAGCTTGACCTTTAAAATTTTGGGCAAATATAATTTAGGATATTGTGAGAAAAAAGAAAAGAACAATGAACTGTCACATATCATCCGAAGTATTTACACAGGCTTCCCATGTGGCATATTAGACTATATTGATAAACTCGTCTCTTGGTCATGGATCACATACCTTGACATGTCTTGAAGTTCTCTTAGATGTATTGATTGCACCATGTTAAAATCAAGCATCGCAAGCTCAAGCAGCACATGATTTGCATCTACTCTTCTAGCATATGCCTCGATATATTCTCTAGCTTCTAGCCTCAGCATTCGACGGTGCAAAGGGAGTTCCAAAGCATGAATCACTTGTTGGGCAAGGCTGGGATTGATAATATTAATATTCCCTAACCCCCCTAAGTGGTGTCTGAGATGTTTGCTAGTGAATTTTTGGGCATCATCTAAAATGTTTTCCCCTTCAAAAGCAAGATACGATGCTTCATACAAACTCAGTAGTCCCTTCACATCATTCAACAGCATGCCTTAAATTTGCCATTGGGGTCCTTGAAACGCTTGAAAACATCTGGTCTGACATGACCACAACCTTATCAATTCCGAAAACATATAGTCTCGCATGAACACAACCTTAACAATTCACTTTCTGTGCCTGGAACTATGAGTGACTGTACTTTTACTCACGAGAAAAACAAAACTGTGTGGTTTGGGATTAGTTTTTTTAGTGAACTTTTTGATGACTTTTTTTTTCTTCTTTTTTTTTTTTATTCTGTAAACTTGTTTTGAAAACAATAAAAAGCTTTACACTTTTAAATTTTACTTGACTAGACGGATCAAAAAAGTTTTTTGAAAAAAAATTGAGAAAAAATGGTCCACTAAAAACAAAAAAAAAAATTGATTTTAACTTTTACATTTTTTTTTTAAAATTTGTTTTACTTTTTAGATCTTTCTACACTAGATAGACTGGAAAAATAAAAATACAAAAATTGACACAAATTCGCGCGGGGGAGGGGAGTTATTGAAAAAAAATATGTCTGTTTTAGTTGGATATCGAACCACTGAAGGTTCAAGATACTATACAAAACAAGATTAAAAAAAATGTGTTCGTACTCTAACCAGTCACCCGTGAAATTATAGAATGTTTCTGAAGTATTACATGTCCGTACTCCTTAACTAATCATTATTCAATATATTTCCGAATCACCCAACACAATACCCCACCTACCTACTTTCTCCACCAATCACAATGCTATGAAATACCATGTATCTATATTCCGAAATTACTGAATAATTACCCTCAGTCACCCAACTAAGCCAACATATGGTAATTTGTAAAAAATTTCATTCAAAAAATTCAAACAATAATAAATACGAATAAAAGAAATATATTATACCATCACAATTAATTGTTTTGTTACTGATTAATTTTTGAGATGTTCAAATCATCGTGATTTAGTTAAACAATTGGTTTACAAAAAAATGAATCGACAAAGTAACAAAATATCGATTTCAACAGGGCATATACGGACAGAATTGGAAATGAAAAAGGACATTTGAAGTAGAAAATATTTTTTTCTTTCTTTCTTTTCCCTTGAGAAATTAGTGAAGAATACCTTGAGAGACTTGATAGCCATGCTGTCTGAGGAGCCTAAAGCTAAGAGCAGTAGCATGCAAATTCATCTCTTTTCTGTCATTAGATTTTTCTTGGACAGATATTATCCTAAGGAGGGCTCTCTTTATGTCCTTGTCGAAGCTGTTCCCCAATCCTAACCGTTGGATGATGTCTACCAATCCAAGCAGAGCCACTGGTTCAACTTCCACATCTTCAGCATCATCAATCATTTTCCTCACCTCCTCCTCCAGTTTCTTTTGCCTCTCCTCGTATATCTCCTACAATATTACACACACACACACACACACACACACACACACACACACAAAATAAGCACCATATACATAAAACAATGATATGCTATCAATGTTGACACCCCAAGCTGTCTTATGTAATTTAGACACATAGCAAGATGATTATTTTGTCTTGAAATAAAAAGAAATATCAGTAGCAATGACCTACATGACTCTTACATAAAACGTCATGGGTTTGAACCTTCAAGAATAGACTGATAGTTATAAATTGTATTCTCCACTTCTTCTGAAAGCCATTCTAAAATTCTGACCAAATAATTAATTAGTATATTATTATAGACGGGAATTACATATATATATATATATATATATGAAAAGTAGTCTTCTTGGGGGCAATCAACATGTGTTCTGAGTGTAGCACCGGTGAGTATATGGAATTGGTTAATAATGGAACATACTTCACTGCAAACAAAACTGAGTTTGTACGGCTCCACATTAACGACGTACAGTAAATGTAAGCTGTGATTTCTCACTTTTACGACGTACTTTTTTTGCATGTCGTAAATAATTTCTCAACCACAACGTGTCTATTGTGTAGGTCGTGAATACTAATAACGAAGATTTTTTTACAGCTTGCAATGTAAGCCATAAATAATAAAATTTTCTACGACATGCATATGCCATTAAAACATCAACTATACACGACATGCGGACACCAACTGCAACTGCTATAAGAACTGTTGTCGATAGTTGTAGATAATCTCTTAATAGCTGTCGATATGTTTAGAAAGT